TCCCTCTCTCTCTCTCTCTCTCTCCCTCCCCCCCCTTTTTATCAAGCGTGCTGTCGTTCTATCGGAATTAATCAGTGAGATCGTGACCGTTTTCCCGAGCACGAGCGGACCCAGCAGGTTTCGTATTTGACAGTGGTTGTCCCTGAGAATTTCTCTACTGTAACTGAGTTGGGGTCTGTGTCTCTATTTGTGCAGTCTGCGCTAACGTCAGTGGCTAATAAAGAAATACTCCTGGGCCCCGGGACAGAGCTACCAATAACATTGACGGGTTCTTTGCCTAATTGTGAATGATTGTGTTTCGATCTATGGCCCTTCGAGATCGATATTACGCTCTCTATTTTGTATGGTCTGCAGACACTTCCCTGTTGAGCATATTTTTCGTCCGGATCCGCCCCCCCTCCATTATGTAATAACCATATAAGTGTTGATACTGGCGTAAACTCAACCTGAAATCCCTGCAATTAAATCGATACTCTTCTCCTCAGCGTCGCCCAGACATTAATCGATTTGTTTCTCTTCTCCGGCAATTTTTGGGGGTTGGTGGGGAGGGGAGGGGGTGGGGTCACGAAAATTACCCTTTCCATGCCCCAGGGAAGTACTCGAGCGTCTCGGGACTACAGCGCTACTACTCAAATAAGAGAATACACTTTGCTTAATGGATTTTCTTAACGGTTTCTGTTTTGATTGTTTTGTTTTTATTCTGGTCTGCGGACGCGCGAGACGGTAAATGCGACGTGTTGCCTCGGGGTTTCATCGCCTCCGTTTTCATTATATTCTATTTCATCATGAAGGGGTGGTTGGTGAGTGGTTGCTCTGGCGCATGGTATCCTCCCTCTATCCCTTTCTTTTAGTTTTACAGTGGTTTCCTTGTCTTAATCTGCTGTCTTGTGGAGTGTGATGTCATCATAGCATCTTACCGAAAGCTTCAGTGCAGCGAAGAACTCCACAACTTTGCTCTTTTTTGTTAGTGACAGACAACCCCCCCCCCCCCCCCCCATTCCTCCTCCCTGAGTCCACTTTCCGCATGTTGAATGTTGATACATGATATGTGTTGTTAGTTGCTCGGTTGGTATTAAGTCATCCTGTGTTTTGATGTGGTTCTAGCCCAGTTCGGCGTTCTTGATCTTAGGGCACGTTTCATGGTTCTGTATCTACTGGGCACGGTCTAATTGGAGATGGGTATTTAATTCAGAGGTCTTGACTGTTGCCA